CACAGTGCATACGGGGTGTAGTGTAAGTGTGACTGGAATAGGCGGTACAGAGCCAGCAATCTGCTCTAGTCCCTGAACACCTGCCCACCCGGTATGTGCTGCTAGCCAGGCTAATCGGGTGCCCATTCCGTCCCTTTCCTTTCAGGCCCCTGAAGTGACGCCGGCTGTTCCTGCTCCAGGCACATCACAGCCACCAAGGAGCCGCAGTGCAGCAAGGAGTCCGGGTACAAAACCGGGGCCAGAGCTCAGCTGGTGTGAATTTGCATTGCTCCGCTGAAGTCCGGGGGAGCTCGGCAGATCTACGCCAGCTGCGGATGTGGCCCAACAGTCAGTCAAACAAAAAATGAGTAAAAAAAAAAAGACCAACCATCTATGGGATCCCCTGTCTATCCATTCAATTCCAGTCTGCCCGTCACTGAGGTATCTCGGGGCCCTCTGCACGGACTCCACGCTCCAAGGTGCTGGCCTCCGTCATAAGAGCAAAGCAACCAGCCCTGGCTGAAGGGGCAGTAGTGACTGGGGCAGGGCAGAAGGAAGTGGGAATCCTGTGTGTCCTAGCACAACGGAGTCCAGTACTCCCCCCACACTGAGGTATATTTCATCCTACCTCAGCGTGGGGGGCTGGACTAGAAGCCCTCTTGATCTCCCTTCCAGCCCTACCTTTCTGAGGTTATAGAATCACAAAGTCATAGCAACGTAGGCCTGGAAAGGACCTCGAGAGGTCGTCTAGTCCAGCCCCCTGCGCTGAGGCAGGACCAAGTGAACCTAGAGCACCCAGCGGCGTATTATCGCCTAGGCCGACAAGGCCTAGGCCTAGGGCGGCAAATTTATAATAGCAGCATTTTTGTAATCGGGACATCAGTGACGCCGCGATTCTACCAATCATAGCGCGTCTTGAACCCACCAATGACGGTGCGATGCCATTTAATAAACATACTAGCGAGACTCCTAAATGTTAATAATATGACTGGAAGGAAGAAATGAAGCGGTTCTCAGTTTTGGATCCATGCGTGGTCCCGCGCTATAAGCGAAATCGCGCTATACAGACGTGTGTTCAAGCGAGGGTCCGCTGTACTTGTAATTTTATTTATAATAAAACTTGTAAATGTTCAATTATTTTAATGA